CTCCCCACGTGGAAAAAGTCAACTGGAGAGGAGTGGGAGGTATTCCTTTTAGGTACAGAAGTGTTTCTCAAGCCTGAGTGTGCATCAGAGCCATCTGGGGGGCTTGTTAAACCAGTTTTCTGGGCCTCACCCTAGAATTTCTCATTTAATAGATCTGGGGTAGGGCCCCCAAATTAGCATTTCTAACAGGCAGGATCCTGGGTGATGCTCATGCTGCTGGTCAGGGTCAGAGTCCACCCCTTGAGAACCATTGAAGTAGGGACTATGCTTTTCTGCTCACAGCAGTGCCCCTACTTCTTGTTGATTACCTTAACCTGAATATCCACTGCCATTATCAAACTCGCATTACTACCTTTTGGATATTTAGAGAATATTTTTCCATATGTATTTATCTTGAAAGTGAAGATAACAAAGAACAGGAAAAAAAATGTTTGTAGAAGCAAAGAATATTCCAACGTATTTGCCACGCAAACACTTGGCCCTCTTCCCTCATGTGCATTTCCTATTAGTACATGGCTTCTGGAGCCTTTGTTTGTGAGCTCAGTGTTAGGTACTTTTCACACAGAAGAAGGCTAAACTTGGGCGGTAGGGCCTTGACTTTTAGTCATTCAGACCTGGGTTTAAGCCTCTGGATCTGTAGTTTACTAGCTCTGTGACACTGGGAAACTTTTGAATCTCATTGAGCCTTGTTTCCTCATCTGTAATATAGGAATCTTAGCAATAACTATTCTACTGGGTTATGCTAAAATTAAGTAATTGAATGTCCAATAACTATTATTTGTCAATGTATTTATTGGTGTTTTAATACCAATTTTAGAATAATACAACTGTGAGCTGGAAGGAGAGGAAAGAAACTAAGCAGAAATGGAGTCAGGAAACCGAAAAGGCTGAGTTGGAAAACTGGAAAAGCTGAGTCAGGAAAGTTAACACCCAGAATGAGTAGCGGTTTGCAAAAAGCACAAAGGACAACAAAAGTGGAGTCTCAAAGTCATTTTTAGAGTTAGAAAAATAAGGAAAGAATATTGATTACTTAAAGAAAATTGTCTAATGTTAATAGACAATAGAAGAAAAAAATCCCAGAACTACTGAATTGGTGTTTGAATTTTTTTTCTTCTTGGTCAAAGAGAAGTATTTTCAGTCAGAAGGGAGGAATAAGTATTAGAGGAATCTAAATTCTTAAATTTCTCTAAGAATCAGAAAGAGTTATCCAATGAGTTCATATTAACCATGTTTATATAAACCAGGTCATAGATTCCTGGGAGAAAGGGCAGGTAAGGTTGTGGAACCATAAATGACAATCGATGAGGAATTACAGAGCATAAGCGTGTGCCCATACAACCACAGAGACTCATTTTAATTCTGATTTCCAAAAGAAAGAAGAGAAAGTGTCTACTCATTCTCATAACTTTATGAATTATAAACCAATGGACTTGTTGTGTACCCCAAGCGAAATAGTAAATGGATTGATCATCAGCATTTAGGAAATGAAAAGAATGATTATAAGGTGGTGTCATTGGTTCTTAAATGTAAGTTTTATCAGTATGCATATTGCCTTTTTTGATAAGATTATTAAGCTAGTGGATCATGGAAATGATTCACTTACTCAGCAACATTATTGAATACTAGTTAGGTGCAGGCACATGATCTATTTCATTGTTTATTGGAGAATTAGCCAATATGGTCACCTGCTAATGAATATGGAATAGAATCAAATATTCTAGGAAGAATGGAACAGAGATCAAACCAAATATACAAAAAAAAAAAAAAAAAAGATGGTGGTCTTTATCAAAATTGGAACTACAGGAGTTGCTGGATGAGATAAGAGAAAACGAGTCAATTTTAGGACTTGTGTTTAAAATGTGTTAATGATGTAGCTGGGGATGTCTATTAACTTGCAGACAGGGAGCTCAGAAGGCCCAGGGCTGGAGAAAAGGATCTGGGAATCATTAGCTTGTATAATTGTCAAAGTTATTACAGTGCCTATTTCCCAGGAGGGGCATGTTGAATGAGACCTCCGGCCAGAATGCAGGGAGCATCAATATCAAAGAAAAGAAGAAAAAGAGCTTATAAAGAAGACTGAGAAACAGAGCAGGGAGGCAGGAGGAGAATCAGGAGAGAATGGTGCTACCTGCCAAGGGAGGAGAGACATTCCTGCAAAATGCTGATGGCCAGCTGCATTTGGAAGCCTTGCTTCAGTTGTGACACCAATCTGCACTGATGTGGGATTTTTCTCCAGCAGCTCATGGTGAGCTACCGGCGTGTAGGAGAGGAAAAGGGAGATAGACTGAATGGTCTATATTAGGAGGTTTGCAGAAATAGTAAAGCGGAAGAAAAAGGAAAATAGTAAAGAAGTTATTAAAGAAGTACATTCATATGGTGCTTAAATTTAACATAGTGTGATGTTGGGTGGGCAGTCAAAATCTCAGTTGTCTTAATTAATACTCAGAAGTAGCATAATTGGGCTGTGCATGGTGGCTCAGATCTCAGCACTTTGGGAGGCTGAAGTGGGAGAATCACTTGTGCCCAGGAGTTCAAGGTTTCAGTAAGCTATGATTGTGCCAGGCTGGGCAACTGAGCAAGACTCCATCTCTTTAAAAAAAAAAAAAAAAGGAGCATAGTTGGAACAAATAGTCAAATCTAGCAGAGGAAAACATTTAATAGGGATGCATATACATTCTACACTTTGCCAAGGGATCATCAGAGTGCTGAATGAAGCAGAGATGAGGACCAATTCCTGTGGAATGAAGCTAGACACTTACTCTACCTTCTTCTTTTCTCTTTCCCCTAAAGTGACAATGAATCTTTAATTAATATTTTATCTTTAAGAATGGATTTTATGTAATCCCAGCACTTTGGGAGGCCGAGGCGGGTGGATCACGAGGTCAAGAGATAGAGACCATCCTGGTCAACATTGTGAAACCCCGTCTCTACTAAAAATACAAAAAATTAGCTGGGCATGGTAGTGCGTGCCTGTAATCCCAGCTACTCGGGAGGTTGAGGCAGGAGAATTGCCTGAACCCAGGAGGCGGAGGTTGCGGTGAGCCGAGATTGCGCCATTGCACTCCAGCCTGGGTAACAAGAGCGAAACTTTGTCTCAAAAAAAAAAAAAAAAAAAAAAAAGAATGGATTTTAAAAAGGCAATGAGTTGAACTAACGTTTTTCCATTTGGACATAAGATAACCATGTGGAGGTCAATTGACATTCAGATTTTGTAGTTGACTTTCTACTCACTGATAGTATAATATTGCAAATATTATAAGTAACATTTTATGTGTTAAGTAGTTTTAAATGTGTTTATGTGTATAGTAGATCTATAAATCTCAGTCCATAGACTGCATTGATCTAGAAAATAACATTTCCTCTCACTTAATTTGATGTTTTATCTTTGTACCAGCAGGCTAAGTTTAACAATCTAAGGTTATTATTGGTTTCTCTCTTCTTCTGTGGGACTGAGACAAAGACCCTGTTGGGATTTGCTTAGTGCCTTGAGCAGCACTGGTCCTTGAGTCATGTGTTCCCACTGAGTTACCCTGAGACAGCATTTGGCTTGCAGCACGTGAGAACTGGAGGCTCACACAGATGTTTTGCTGTATCGCTGAGGGCTGGAAATCTTTAAGAGGCAATGGACTGGTGTACCTAGACTCTGCACCAAGCCATCTCCTCTTCGGGGTATTGCTACCTCCTCCCAGGAACTGCCCAGAAAGAAGGAAACCTGGCTCTTGGAGCCCTCATTCTGTCTGTTCTCATCATTATCTCCTCTTGACTCTCTCTGCCTCAGACCTCAGAGAATCCTATTTTAGGCAGTGGGTGGAGGAAATCAATGCTCTTTGACCTCTGTTCCTCCCACACATTTGATCTTAACATTATCCCCAAAATGCTAAGTTCCCCTTTTTAAAACACAGAGACAAAAAGTGGCAATTGGCTATTTATATCTTCTAACTAATTGCATCCCCTCCCTGAGGCAATGAGCTCAGGATTGCCTATATACACTTGGAAACCGGGAAAGAACAGAAGAAAAATGGACCCAAATAATTCTCCCACCACACCCACATTCAATTCTTCATCCTTATAGCCACAAAGTTAGCAAATTAGCTACGACTTTTGCTTTAAAGCATCCTTCCAAATCTATAATTTTATCAATGTTAGACTAAACCAGTTGGTTTGTGCTGCTAGCAAGGATGGAAAAAACCATGGGGCAGATTTCGAGGCAGATGACAGCAGCTGATTAGACACGGAGAGCAAGGGCCCTGGACCTCTAGCCCTTTAGTTCTAAGAGTGCTTGGAAAGATTCTTAAGAAATGATAGTGACCAAAGTGGAAAACTTTCTGATGCCTAACTTTGGACTGTGCTGCTGACCATTAAATGGAGGTTTTTTTTTACTTCTCTGTGTGGCCAGGCCTGGCTCTTCCTCAACTCCCGTTTCTCTTCTGATTGTGGCTCAACAGCATGTCTCAGTCCTTGGTGACTCTCACTCTCCTGCCTTGGGGTCAGGACTATGATGCATCCTGGTGTCCTCTGAAATTTTATAGAACCTTATTATCAATGAACATTGGTCAATATTAATTGCATAGAGCTCTGTGCTAAGGTTTAGCATATTGTAAAACTCAAGGGCTTACAGTCATATTGGAGAGATGGGGTATGTGCACAGTTCAGTGCAGCATGTCCCAAGCACCCTCTATGCGATGGTCCCAGGAGTCTGGGGAAGGAGGGTAGCACGAAGCAGAACTGACAACTGCGGAGCCAAAAGGGCATGCAGTGTGACACTTGAATTGTAGCTGCTTTTTAGAATCTACCTAAAAATAGCGCAAGCTCAATCTGCAGAAATTCTGACCTTAATGGATATGCTCGAGTTCAAGAAAGATGAGTTATTCTTAGATCTTTATAACCAACTGTGAAGGAAGTCTCAACCTCAGCAACATCAGTGATTAATACTAATAATATCTGTCTCCCAGACACATGCTTTGAAGATGAAATGAGACAATACAGGTGAAACAACACTAATTGCAATTGAGATATTTACTGGTACTGTTCATTATTCTCATATATTCAAGGGGTACAGTGGGTGCTTTTACATTTTAATAAGGAGTGCTAGATACAGAGGGAGGTCCTTCCCTCACATCCACCAAATTGATCACTCTAGTGTTTGCATCAAAACATCAGTATCAGTATCAAAATAATCAGATTTTGAAAGCCACAGAATACCCAAAGCAACCACTTCTAAATTGCTATTTAAGATGAATGCTCTACCTTTTATGTTGCATTTTTGAAACTGATTCAATCAAAGTACTTTGATGTTGTAAATACCTACACATCAGCTCATCTACTTTTAAATAAATCAAAATATTTAGGCATTTTCACAGAAATTTCTCATATTCATAAAACAAGGCAATAGTTATTTACTTCCTGGTATGGTAATGTGTTTTGAAAAATCTCTATTTAACTTGAATACAAGGAATAAAAGCTAGTTTCATGAAACTCCATTGTCAGAATAATGAATGTTTTAAAAATACACTATTCAAAGCCTGCCCAACTCTCTTCCTCAGGCTATGGAGAATGTGTCTCCAGTGAGTCTTAGAAGGAAGGAAACCCTTCCTTCACCCCACTTCCTGTGCCTCCTTTAGAGCTGGGCTTGTAGCCAGGGTGAACAGAAAATGGCAAAACTGTTAAAAGGTTAACTGTCAACATGGCGTTCTCAGCATCTCTCAAAGGCACTTAGGAAACTAGTTGCAAAGAGACAGTAGCAGCCAGAGAGCACCCCAGAGAGTACACTTGTGTTTATTATTCCACATGATTACATATTCAAATTGCTTTTAATTCCTGGGCAGCCATGGGGATGTTGGGGGAGGTGGGAAGTAGCTTGCTGGAAAGGGGCAAGAACAGCGGAAGGAGCTGGTCTGGCATTAAAGATGTGCTGCAGATACTTCCCTAAGGCAAATGAGCTTCACGATTATGAATTCAGGCAACAAAAAAAAGAGCTGTGGATCAAAAAAACAAGGTTGAATTCCCACATTACATATGATAATCCCTTTCAATACGTTAAGAATCTTGCTTTGCATCAGCATTGCAGATTTCTTTCTCTTGAATCCTTCATGAAGGGCTTTTAAAAATTCTACCGTAGCCAGGTAAGTTAACCCATACCCATGCTGCCTTCTAGACTCAAAAACCCCAGGAATTATGAGTAAATGTCTGTGACATTTTGGTCAGGTGGAGTTGGTGTTAGGAAACTTTTGAGCATCGTGGCTACAGGCATAACCTTTGGCTGTCTTCATCAAATGTGGTTTGAGAAGATTCACAGTGGTTACGTTTGAAGGTGTGGGCAGAGGCAGGGGAATTTGAAAAACATATGCAGTTGTTTATTAGCTTTGTATGTTTGCGAACTTTTGATGGCATTTTCAAATAAAAAAACTCAGCATTTAAAAAGCCATATGTTTCACTGCTAGAAATAGAATAAATAGAAAATAAACATGTAGATAGCAGTGAGGATAATCTATTTAACACACACTGTAGGACTTAAAAATCCTTATCAAGTTTGCCATTTCATTCAGGAATCTGTGATAGAACCTAATTGAGATGTGTTGCCAGACATGGGAGGATTAATCACAGGGGGATGAGACTGAATTAGGAGGAGGTGAGACCTGGAGAATGAAACGCAGCAGGGACTTGGAGGAGAGGGATTGGCTTAACGCAGCATCATCTAGAAGGTATGACAACAGACTGCAGGTGATGAACCATGTAATAGCAGGAGAAGCCAACATGAGGGTGTGGGCGATGAGAGTTTTGACAAAGGAGAATTTCAGAGCAAGTGATATTTAAAGGTCTAAGCAGCTCTGTCCAATAGAAATAGGTAGTTTAAAATTGTCTAGTATCTATATTTTAAAAAGTAAAAAGAAACATATACAATAAATTCTAATAATATATTTCATTGCACTCACTATATAAAAAATATTATCATATCAACTTGTGGCATTAGAAACACTTCAAGTGTCCAGTTGCCACAGGTGACTATTATATTGAACAGCATGAAAATCAATCAGGTCTTTGGCATCAGGTAAGCCTATCAGGTCAGAGGAAGACCAACATCATGACTGGATGGAAATGAACATGTTAAATGGACATGTTACCTGGTAATTTGCAGAAGAGAAAATATAAATGGTTAGACAATTTATAAGAATTTCTACCTCACTTGTAATAAAAACAATAAAAATTAAAATATCAGCAAGATGTTAGTTCTCAACTCTCAAAATAGCCAAAGTTAAAATAATGGAGTTGTTTGAAGGTATGCTAAAACTCATATGATGCTGTTAGCAGTATAAATTGATATAACTTTTGGAAAATATTAAGAGCTTTAAATTGTTTTTCCAACTTTTGGAACTCTACAACAAAAAACAACAACAATCATTACTGAATGCTTATTACCTGAAAGATAATATGCTCAGCACTTAATTTTTTAAGTCTTTTAATCATCACAACAGCCCTGTGAAGCAGATGTTATTATCTAGTTTCAACCCTATGAAAATAAATCAAAGTATGGACAACATTATGCATTAATATCTTATTAATAGCATTGTTATAAGAAACAAAAAATAGAGGTCAAAAATAGATTTAGGAAAAAAACTAATATTTCAGAATCAGGAAATAGTTAACTAAGTGAAATTTTTCAGTGGAATCAATGTATTTACAAGAGTGATATTTAAAGAATATAAAATGACATGGGAAAATACATATCTTAGTCTGCTATTGCCTAAATAAAGCTGCATAACAAACATTAAATCGTGTGACAGAAAACAAGAAACATTTACTTCTTTTGCTTATGTTTGCAGGTTATCTGGCATGAGACTCTGCTTTTGGCTTCAGGTAAACTGGCCTTGGCTGCAGGTTGCAGGTCCCGGCTCAGGTATGTTGCATTGTGTTCATTTTGGAGCCCAGGTTGACAGGGTATCTGCTACAGGGGGAAGCTCTTCTCATGGGAGTCTTGTAGTGGGCAGGAGAGTGAGTGCAACCACACAGCACATTGTAAGCATCTGCTTGCTTCATGTCTGATAACTTCTGATTGGCCAAAGCTAGTCACATGGCCCAGCCAAACGTGAGAGGTGGGAAAACACCCTCTGCTTGTTATGAGAAGATGGCAAAAATGTGTTATTTCTAATTCTCATATGAGGGAAAAAAGAACTGGCACCAATAATTCAATCAACCCCAGTCTGCTTTCCATTACCATTGTTCACATCCCTCCCACAGGTGCTCACATCCATCCCAAGATCCTTTCAAATCTCATCCCCGGCTGGCATCATTTTCATATGAAAAGAGTGAGGTGCACCATGGTTTATAGCCACTGTGAAATCCTGGTCAATGAATGTTGCCACATTCCCCTACCTTGGGAGAAGGGAATATTCTTACTGGCTCAGACCTCCATTACTGCTCCCAGGGCATAGCTTCCCAAATCTCAGTTCATTATTTCTCTGTGGTTTTTGGCTCCACCCTTTGGAAAGTCCTTAGCCAAAATCCCCCTTGGTCGCTTCTAAAGAGGGCATTGGAGAATATGCCTTATTTGGTGACTGAGCCACCCTCTCAGCCTGCACCCTCCTTTAGAAGGTTGGGGTAGGAGGAGACTGGAGACAGTTTTATATTTCAAAAAGTCACATCATTTTTAGTCCATGCTAATAGAAATTTTCTCGATATAGGGTTATTTTTTCTTCTCCGTAAATACAGGATTTCTGGGCCATGTTTATTTACTCTCAATTCCATTGCAAGGTAGCCATGCTTTCCTTGAAACCTGTATTAGTCAGGGTTCTCAAGAGGGAGAGAACTAATAGGATGGATGTATATATGAAGGAGCATTTATTAAGGAATACTGACTCACACAAACACAAGGCAAAGTCCCATAATAGGCCATCTGCAAGCTGAGGAGCAAGGAAGCCAGTCTGAGTCCTAAAACCTCAGAAGTAGGGCAGCCAACAGTGCAGCCTTCAGTCTGTGGCTGAAGGCCCCTAAGCCTCTGGCAAATCACTGGTGTAAGTCTGAGTCCAAAAGCTGAATAACATGGAGTCTGATATTTGAGGGCAGGAGGCATCCAGTCCAGAAGAAAGATAAAGGCTGGAAGACTCAGCAAGTCTTCCAACTTCTAGCTGCTTTATTCTAGCTATGCTGGAGGCTGATTAGATGGTACCATACCACCAAGATTGAGAGCGGGTCAGCCTCTCCCAGTCCACTGACTCAAATGTTAATCTCCTTTGGTAACGCCCTCACAGACACACCCAGGAATGATACTTTGCATCCTTCAATCCAATCAAGTTGACATTCAATATTAACTATCACGAGTTCACCCTTTGTCAACTTGAACCCGTACACATCTCCTGGACTCATACACAATCTTCAAATAAGACAATCAATAATAAGGTCATAATTATGCCTAACATAATACAGCTATTCTTTATACAAACAGGAAGTGCACTAATCCTTAACCTAAATGCTATTACATAAAGTTAACAACACTTAAATGCTGATATAAAGTCAATAAATCTTATGTCACATGATAAAGGAAAAAGAAAGGAAATAAAATTGAAGATATTTTCTTAGTACAAATGTATGCATGCACAAACATGTTCTTAACAAAATAAGGAGGAAATACTCATGACAATTACAGTTCTTATTTCTGCAACTGGTTGTGTGATCGTAGCTGGTATTGATGACTATCTTCTTCTATTACCCATTTTGTATTCCCTTTGCCTTCAGCAAGCACTTCAGTGGGTCATGAATTTTTACCTGGTGGAGTGACCCAGACCTTCATTCCTGAAGGGCCTGGGTCATCTGTAGTCTTGCCTGGTTTGGGTTGTTGTAGTTTCCCATTGACCTTAATCACAGGGTATGGAAATACTAAGAGATGTCTTAAGGGATCTCCTGTCTAGACTGATTTCATCTTGACAGACTGGGTCAGTCACCCCAGCCAACACTGTAACTCCCTTCTTAGCCTGTTGACTTAAAGGTAGGACGAGCCCAAAGTGTCCAGGTGGCATCTTAATTTCTAGCTGAATGGAATCCTTGTTGTGTCTCCTGGTAGCAGCATTCCTTTCTCTGGAACTAAGACCTCTAGGCCAGCAGAACATAGTATTGCAGGAACAGTAAGCAAAAATTTTGCTAGTGGGTTGCTAGGGGTGATGGTGAGTGGTGTCACTTCCACTTCCATCCCTTGATTCCTGGACCCATGAATACTGGCTCTGGGAGACAGTACCATATATCAGATGCTGATTCAGGACATACACAACCTTCTGGAGAACTTTGCCTCAGCCCTGCAAAGTACTGTCACCTAGTTGGTGGTGTCATTGTGACTTCAAAAGACCACTCCACTGTCCTATCAATCTGGCTGCTTCAGGATGATGGGGAATGTGGTAAGACCAGTGAATTCCATGAGCATGAACCTACTCCTGCACTTCTTTAGCTGTAAAGTGAATGCCTTGGTCAGAGGCAATGTGTGTGGAATACTGTGATGGTGGATAAGGCATTCTGTGAGTCCATAGATGGTAGCCTTGGCAGAAGCATTGTGCATGGGATAGGCACACCCATATCTGCAGTAAGTATCTATTCTGGTGAGAACAAGCCATTGACCTTTCCATGATGGAAGAGGTCTGATATAATCAACTGTTGAGATTCATTCGGGGTGGCTGACAAAATATTAGGGAAATATTAGGGAACGTTACAGATTAGTCTCAAACCTTTTGGAAGGCCAAAAGGATTTATTGGGATAGGCTGAAGATGGCCAGTCCATTATGTTAGGGAAAAGACAGGATCGATAAAAGGCTTTCTCAGTTAGATCTGTTTACCCCACATCCCTTTGTCTCTACTCTACTTGTTTACTCATGTAAATTTTGTGCTGGATGGTCCTCTCAGGGGGAGATCAAAGGGAAATAACCCATTAATAGTGTTTACTTCAGGCCCTGGAACCTAAAGCTTTTATCATTCATAAAACCTCTCTTTTAACCATGTTAATCATCCACAAACATGTTGGCTTAGAACCACTGTAATGAAATTTATACTGAATAAATGTGAGGATGGACAAGGGGTCTCAGTTGATTGGTTGCATTTTACCCTCTGACAACAGCCAATGACCATGCCTAGCCCACTTGAATCACTGAACCAGGTGTAAGAGTGCATTTATTCACCTGTTGTTGAGTCAGGGTCTGCAGGACAGACCTCCACAGGTGGTGATTGACATTTCAGGTGGTGACCCCAAAGTGATCAAGGTCACAGGTGGTGTACCGTATGAGGATTGAACTCACAACCTTCATATTATGAGACAGATGTTGATCACCACCAGTGGAGGTCTGTCCTACAGACACTGACTCAATGACAGATTATTTATCAATGCACTCTCACACCTATTTCAGTGATTCAATTGGGCTAGCGATGGCCATCAACTGCCTTCAGAGGGTGAAATGCAGCCAATTGACCAAGACCCCCTGTCCATCCTCTCATTTATTCATCCGTCATTGAGTCAGGGCCTGCAGGACAGACCTCTGCAGGTGGATCAATGTCTCAGGTGGTGACCCTGATGTGATTGAGGTCACAATCAACCTGTCACCAAGTAGCTGGCTGATAACCCTGAGAAATGGTGGCATATTGAGAGCTCAGTGTTGGTCTCTGCTGCTGGAAATTGGGCACTCAGTGGTAGCTGTAGCCAGGACAGCCATGGTGAGTAGAAGTCTATTTTGCTGAGCTCATGCATAACCTCCATCCCTGCCACTATGGCCACTTGTTTCATGTGCCTATTGGGTGATGACAGGGTTGGCTGAAGAAAGAGGCTGAATGGTGTCCACAGAATGAGTCATCCTATCCACTTGATTATTAAAATCCTCCACTGCTGAGGTCACCGAACATTGACATGAGACACAAATAGTTTCACAGTATTTTTTAGCACTCAGAGAGGCTCATCCACATACCTTTTCCCCATATTTCTTTGTCACCAATTTTTCAATCATGTTTCTTCCAATTCCCTGACCATTCAGCCAAACCATTGGCTACAGACCAAGAATTAGTATATAATCACACATCTGGACATTTTTCCTTCTAAGCAAAACACACAGCCAGGTACACTGCTTGAAGTTCTGCCTGCTGGGAAGATTTCCCTTCACTGCTGTCCTTCAGGGATGTCTTAGAAAGGGATTGTAGTGCTGCAAGCTCTCCACTTTCAGGTGGTGCCTACGTATTGTGCAGAACCATCTGTAAACCAGGCCCTAGTCTTCACTTCCTTTGTCAACTGTTCTTAGGGAACTCCCCATGAGGTCCACATTGCAGGTAGGGGAAAAGAAGGCAGGGTGGCAGGAGTGGAGACCATGGGCACTTGAGCCACTTCCTCATGTAACTTACTTGTGCCCTCAGGACCTGCTCTAGCCCAATCACATATATACCACATCCATTTCATTCAATGATGGAATGCTGCTGCTGTGCAGGACCCACTTTATGGCCAGATGGGTCAGAAAGCACCCAGTTCATGATAGGCAGTTCATGTCACATGGTGACTTGATGACCCATAGTCAAACGTTCAGTTTTCACCAAAGCCCAGTAACAGGCCGAGAGCTATCTCTCAAAAGAAGAGTAGTTACCTGTGGAAGATGGCAGGGCCTTGCTCCAAAATCCTTGAGGCTTCTGCTGTGATTCATCTATCGGGGCCAGTCAAATGCTTCAAACAGCATCCCTATCTGCTACTGACATTTCAAGCACCATTGGACATGCTGGGTCATATGGCCCAAGTGGCAAAGCACTTGCACAGCAGCCTGGACCTGTGGCAGTGCCTTCTCCTGTTCTGGACTCCACTCAAAACTGGCATCCTTTGGGTCATTTGATAAATGGGCCAGAGTAACATTCCAGATGAGGAATGTTTTGCCTCCAGAATCCAAATAGGCCTACTAGGTGTTGTGCCTCTTTCTTGGCTGTAGGAGGGGTCAAACGCAGCAACTTATCCTTCACCTTAGAAGGATATAAAGATATATATAAAGATATAGGCCCTACACTACTGGACCTCTAGAAATTTTACTGAGATAGAAAGTCTCTGAATTTTGGTTGGATTTATTTCCCATCCTGTGGCATGCAAACATCTCACCAATAAGTCCAATGTGTTTGCTACCCCTCACCCACTGGATCCAATCAGCATGTCATCAATGTAATGGGCCAGTGTGATATTCTGTGGAAAAGAAAAGTGATCAAGATCTCTGTGAACAAATTATGACACAAAGCTGGAGAGTTGATATACCTCTGAGGTATGACAGAGAAAGTGTATTGCTGGTCTTGCCAGATGAAGGCAAATTGCTTCCGGTTGGCCTTATGGACAGGAATGGAGAAAAAGGCATTTGCCAAATCAATGACTGCATACCAGGTAACAGGAGATGTGTTAATTTGTCCAAGCAATAAAACCACATCTGGTATAGAAGCTGCAATTGGAGTCACTACTAGGTTAAGCTTATGATAATCCACTGCCATTCTCCAAGATCCGTGTCTTCTGCACAGGCCAAATGAGAGAGTTGAACGAGGATGTGGTGGGAATCGGAATCATTTCCCATACATCTTTCAAGTCCTTAATGGTGGCGCTAATCTCTGCACTTCCTCCAGGGATGTGATATTGTTTTTGATTTACTATTTTTCTAGCTAGAGGCAACTCTAATCACTTCCATTTGGTTTTTTCCACCATAATGGCCCTCGCCCTACCAGTCATGGGGCCAATGTGGGAGTTCTGCCAGTTGCTAAGTATGTCTATGCCAATTATGCATTCTGGCACCATAGAAATGACAACATGATGAGTCTGGGGCCCACTGGACTCACTATAAGTTGGACCTCAGCTATAACAACATTAATTATCTGACCTCCAAAGCCCATGCTTTAACTGGGGGACAATAATGACGTTTTGGGTCCCCTGGAATCAACATCAGCTCAGAGCCATGGTCCAGTAGTACTGCAAAAGTCTGATCACCCTTTTCCCTAGTGCATAGTTACTCTGGTAAAAGGCTGGAGGTCTCCTTGGGGAAGGATGGGAGAAAGATTAACAGCACAAATTGTTGGTAGTGTAGTGCAGTCCTTTCTCAAGGGAACCCGACCTCTCCTTCATCCAAAGGGTTCTGGGTCTGTAAACTGTCTCAAGTCTGAAATTGATTGAAGGGCCATGATTCTCCTTTTTTATAATTCAAATTAGTCTTGTCCACTTGACCTGGAAGTTTTCTGCTTTACAAATCAAGTAGGAATGTAGCAGGCTTCCAATCAATTGCACTTCTAGGAACATTGTGATTCATTAGCCAATGCCTGAGCTCTACTTGAGTCAGACTATTCTGATTGCTGCTTTGCCTCTGCTGTCCATTACAGTAACTATGCCTACCTTGCTTTTGATGGTTGTGTGCTGCCACTTGGCCACTGCCACCTTGAGATCCAATTATTCTCATTGCATTTAAATTTTCTAATTGAGTGACTGTGGTTCCCACTGGAAGATCTGGCAGACAGAGAAGGGCAATCACAAAGCTCTTCAAGGATATAGGTTCTCCCCTGATAAA